ATTCATCCTCCTGCTAATTAATATTAGGGACATTCGGGTCATGGGGAGCATATTTTATTAGGTTAGCATTTATGCACCCTCGTAAACATTTTTGGGGGGGGAGGTAAGAGAATGGGTTCATTAGGATTAAAATTTAAACAGCCAATGTATTCTTCTCCAATGTGGATATATCATGTGCTGTCTGTAGCATTTTCTTTTTTTTTTTTTTTTTTTAAAGATTTTATTTATTTATTTGAGAGAAAGAGAATGAGAGACAGAAAGCACGAGAGGGAAGAGGGCAGAGGGAGAAGCAGACCCCCCGCTGAGCAGGGAGCCCGATGCGGGACTCGATCCCGGGACTCCAGGATCATGACCTGAGCCGAAGGCAGTCGCTTAACCAACTGAGCCACCCAGGCGCCCTCTTTTTTTTTTTTTTAAAGATTTTATTTATTTACTTGACAGAGACACAGGGAGAGAGGGAACACAAGCAGGGGGAGTGGGAGAGGGAGAAGCAGGCTTCCCACAGAGCAGGAAGCCCGATGTGAGACTCGATCCTAGGACCCTGGGATCATGACCTGAGCCGAAGGCAGACGCTTAATGACTGAGCCACCCAGGCGCCCGTCTGTAACATTTTCTTACATTCTTTTTTTAAAATTTACTTTCTATCCACCTTTCCTTTTTTTTTTAAGATTTTATTTATTTGTCAGAGAGCGAGAGTACACGAGCAGGGGGAGGGGGAGGGGCAGAGGGAGAAGCAGGCTCCCCGCGGAGCAGGGAGCCCGAAGTGGGGCTCGATCCCAGGACCCTGGGATCATGATCCAAGCCGAAGGCAGACGCTCAACCAATTGAGCCACCCAGGCACCCCCATTTTCTTACATTCTATCCTCATGTTCATTTCATTTTTAATTGGGCACAGAACTTCAGTAACTGATATCAGCATACATAACAAGGAGTAAGAGGGCGGATGGAGAGGCAGCCTGAAATTGAAGAAAAATTTCCTTCGGGGGCTTTGGGCTGAGCCACAGGAAGAATGGCATCCTCCTTGAACAAGGATCTCCCCCTCTCCCTTCTTTCCTTCGTTTTGTTCTTCCTTCTAGTCAAGAGGCAGCCTATGAACTGCTGGGTTCTTTAGTGTGTTTTATTTCAAGAGAAGTGAGGCGTGCGGGGAAAAAAGCCTCAGCTGGGTAAGTCACATTAGTTCTTGGGGGTTTCAGTGTCTCTAGCTTTTTTTTTTTTTTAAAGATTTTATTTATTTATTTGACAGAGAGATAGAAGAGCACAAGCAGAGGGAGTGGCAGAGGGAGAGGGAGAAGCAGGCTCTGCACTGAGCAGGGAACCCGATGTGGGACTCGATCCCAGGACCCTGAGATCATGACCTGAGCCAAAGGCAGACGCTTAACCATCTGAGCCACCCAGGCGCCCATCAGTGTCTCTAGCTTTAAGATGATGAGGCTGGTGGGATGATGTCAGGGGTCCCTCTGAGCTCAGCCAACCCTCCCTTTATCTCTTCTTGACATCCACTTACGTGCCATGCTTCAAAAGAAAGGTGTATTTTATCCATGTCAGCAAAGATACTTTGCCTGTATATTCATTTGAATGTTCCTTGAAACCAAAACTTTGTCTGACGGCCCATGACTTATTTTATTTTCACTTGTTTATCTCTTTCTTCCCCTTGTTCATGGAATTCCAACAGTCTGAGAATCCAACAATCAGGACTCTTCTCAGATGTCTGCATTGTACCTAGTTTATATGAAATATAATCAAATAGGGATTTTTATGTGAAATAATAGAGAGGTAAACAGACTGGTTTCCTCCAGGGCTGTCCTCATCAGTTTTGTCAGGGTCCAGACTGAGTTTCCCTCCAAGAGTATTCTTACAAATGCCACAACCAAATTTCCTTCTTTCTGATTAGGATTAACTGCTTCCCTCATGTAAGTGCTTTCTAGTGATTCTCAAATAGCAGTATAATCATGGATTTTTTTAATATAAAAAAGAACTATAGAAAGCAACGTCTTTGTAATTAATCCTGATACAAAACTGTGAATGGCTTAAATAAAATATCATGCATTTGGACAGTTCTAGGAACAGATCTCATCTACATTGCTCTAAGTAATTTGCAGAGGTACAAAAAGATTCCATCCAGCCTGTTAATTACCCCAAACTCCTGCTGCTTGCTACTCTCTCACCAAATGGGCTAGCATTTCTGAGTTCCTTTCAAGTGCCCTTTTGAAGGATTATTGTGAAACTACAGACTTTTATGTGAAATCTGTACGGATTTCTGCATGGGACATACTTAGTTAATGTTCTAAATCCACCTAACACAGTCCATTAGTTATGTAAACAGAATTAATGTTAAAACAATGTTCCCTTGGGTAGACACTAATGACATTTCTTCTTCTTAGATAATAACCATGCAATCCTTTTTTATTATTTCTGCAAGGTGTTTTTTGTTTGTTTTTTTTTTTGTTTCCAATCTGGCATATCTAACATGCCTTTAAATATGTAAACAGGGATGCTCCTGCTGAATTTTTCAGGAGACCTAATTGTCCGGGAATAGATCCAATATATCAACCAGGTTTGTGTTTTATGTAAGCCAGAGGCCAGAGCTGAAGGGCTTAGGCTTTGTTCTCTAATCTCTTTTAGGATCATATTACCTAGCATGGAGAACCAACCATCTCTATCACAAAACATCACAACGATTGAAATGCCCTCAGCTACACCCGGGGACAGTTTGGACCAGAAAAAGCTAACGCATCCGTGTCCAGTGGAAAGGACAGGGAGAAGTGTGTAAACAATTGTTTATGGAAGGCTGTGAACTTCTGAGTGAGACAAACCTGTTCTTTGTTCAACAGTGCCGAGAGGAATGTGTGCTTCCAAAACAGTGAACTGAGTTAGTTCCTGGAGCCAAGAGAACAGACGAGCCTGATATTTTACAAACTGCATCACTAAATCAAGAGGACACACAGTGCAGACTCCCACCATACACTGCTCTGCGTTCCCTTTCTCCGGGGCTGCTGTGAGGACGGGGAGGATAACTCAGCCCTCCTCCCTCTGTTTTTCTTCCAGTACAAATGAAGTCAAGGGCGGCGCTGAAAGCCCCAGGAGGCGGGCAGGCCGGGCACGGTCAGCGAGGTGCAGGAGTCCTTCCGAAATGTTATAAAAGAAGCTCTGACTCAAAGGCTCTGACACAAAATGAACTACCCAAACCAGGTGGGACTTGTTTTTCCTCACACGACCAAGCACGTAGGAATTTCACTTGGGTTTATGAACCCAGCGCATATATTGATTTATTTTGTGGAAAACCAACACCTTCTTCTCTGTCACAGTCCTTTTTCGGAGCAGTTTCCTATGAATTAACGTCACTCTCGTGGGCGCTTTTTCCTTTTCAAGCTGTGTTGGATTAGAAACATGCACACTCAATAGAAAGCAGCGTGAAATAATTCATAGACGTACAAAGAAGGAAATAAAAATTGCCTTTACTATTCTCACACAGAAATAACCACTGGAGGCCTCGGATTTGTTTTCTTTCTCATTTATTCTGACTTTTTCAAAGGCTTCCTATAGTTTAACTTCAGAGCATCCCCTTGAACGTATGGAGGTCAGGAATTATGTCCATTTCACTGATAAGGAAACTGAGGCCCACAGAAATCCCATGACCTGGCTAGTGGGGCCGCGGAATACCAGCCGGAGAGCCCAGGCTGGCCCCACAAGGCCCCACAAGGCCCCACAAGGCCCCACAAGGCCCCTCACGCCTCTCTCCTTGCTTCTGTGGTCGGCTGTGTTCCTCACAGGGAGAGAGGACTTTTTGTCCCCTCAGTGATGACAATCACACTCACTCCTCAGTCTTCACAGGTGCCCTACTTGCTAAAATTTATTCTAATCCCGAAGTCAATACTTGCCATGCTCTTGGCACACGTTCTCAGCTGAGCTCAGACAAGGGGACACTCTGCTTTCTCATTACAGCTCTCAGACTGCAAACAAGTGTCCTTTCCGTGGTCCATTTAGTGCCACATCATTTGAAGTTTTGCGCTTTTGTTGTCGATCTTGCCGTTTAAAATGGCCCCCAGGTGTGGTGCCGAAGAGCTCCCGAGGGTCCCTAACGCACAGAGGACTCCTGTGTTAGGTGTGGTTCCTTCAGCCGTGCATTATGGAGCTGTTGACTGTGAATTCACACGTAAAACTGGTCACATATTGGTTGGTTGATAAAAATCTTACCGGAAGCTCACAGATTACACCTGGGCGTAATGGTCCAGGGTTTGCTAACTCGAAGTTTACAGTGACTTTGTAGAACGACCATGAGTAAGTAGAAACGGCTGTATTACTATTGTAGCTACTGCTGTCATTGACTAGTAATAAATGCTGTGGCCTCTCAGAGAATTCCAGCTTACTTTTTAGCCTTACACAGGAGGGTCGGACCTTCAGTTTCTACTTCTTCCTGCTGTGGATGCTGGGGAGCTACCATTCCACTCTTAGCACCCTCAAGAGGACTGCTGGTCCCTGCTAGCAATTAACCATGGTTCCAAACTCTGACACCTGTTAAGTGAAGCGCTCCTGTCTCATGCCTGGTCTTCTGGAAGCACAGGCCAGCCCACTTACAAGTTAAGGCAGGCTTGTTTCTGGTTTTGCTTTGAGAGCGTTAATGTGAGGGCCCTGAGGGCCGGGCCATCAATCCTACTTTCATCACTGCTCCTCTCAGGAGATCTAGGGTCTACCCACACAGGAGTCCCTTAGGCAGATATGCAGGTTAGACCTCAAGCCAACAGTCGTCTTTGAGAGACCGCTGACCCACTGCCAACGACGTGGATGGAACTAGAGGGTATCTTGCTAAGTGAAGTAAGTCTAAGAAAGACAAATACCACATGATTTCACTCATATGTGGAATTTAAGAAACAAAACAGGTGAACATAGGGGAAGGGAAGGAAAAATAAAATAATATGAAAACAGGGAGGGAGGCAAATCATAAGAGACTCTTGAAAAAAATATATTTTATGGTGCACCACCCGCTGGCCGTCCGGCCCGGCATGGCGGAGCGCGGCGGTTCTGAGCCCAGCCCGGGCTGCAGCAGTCTGGGCCGGGGCGGCGTTCTCGGCGCCGCCCACTCATGGGCCCCGGAGGACGCCTGGATGGGCACCCACCCAAAGTATTTAGAAATGATGGAATTAGATATAGGAGATGCCAGCCAAGTTTGCATAGCATTCTTGGTTTACCTGGACCTCATGGAGAGTAAAAGTTGGCATGAAGTAAATTGTGTTGGATTACCAGATCTCCAGCTCATCTGCCTTGTCGGTACTGAGATAGAAGGAGAAGGATTACAGACTGTGGTGCCTACACTCACCAGTGCTTCCCTCAGCCCTAACAGGATAAGGGAGATCTGAAGGCATCTCGAAAATCGCAAGGTGACCCAGATTTGCCAATGTCTTTTACTTTGGCCATAGTGGAGTCCGATTCCACAATAGTCTATTATAGACTTACTGATGGATTTATGCTGCTGGACCCTCAGAATATTTCCCTTAGAAGATGACATCTATACTTCCTGATGCTTACTGTGAGAGTGGGTTCGAGATCCGTCAGCCTGGTTCATCTTTTATCTCAGAGATAGTTAGGGTTGACTTAGCTGGTCCTATTCCATAAGCTTTTCTTTTTGAAGAATAAAACTTTCCCAGATAGAAGAATTTTTTTTGTTGATAAGTATAGGGTAGTTGCTCTAGAACTTTCTTACCTGGAGATAGTTTAATTACAGTTAAATACAAGTTGATGCTTAGGATGTGTTCAGAGGGGTGGCCCACGTGTGTTTCTTCTGTCGTCCACCACTCATAGCTGCCTCGTTGTTCATCGCTGCCCCTGCTAACACATTGTTGAGACTCCCCTTTCTCTAATTCAACCCTCTCAGTGCCTTTTGGCTACTACAGCTAGCCTGCCGTGGCGTTTCATGGACACCTGGACACTTGGAGAGTTTGCTCGGTCTCCTTTTAAATCCCCAATAGAAAGTAACAGTTTTCTTTCTATTGGTTTTTATGTGGCATTTACTGTTGACTTTAAGTCAAAAGTAAAGATACGCTCATCCAGAGTATAAAATTACATACATGTCTAGATTAGTAGGGACCAGAGAAGTGCTACCGATTAGTTACTTCCTACCTAAGTAAAGGAAGTACTGGGCCTTCCTTTCCATTCTTATTACCACCACCCTTATTATATCATAGTTAGAATATTATGTGAGATAGTGAGAAACGGTGTCAGCTTTAAAGACATCTTTATTAAGTAGACCCAGTTATTCCACTTTTGTTAATACCTCTCAATTATGTTGCCTAAAGTATAAAAAATTATATGCACAAAGATTCCAAGTGACATTAATTGTTATAGCCAAAATAATAATCACTTAAAAGTTTTAGGAAGGGGTCATCAAACTTTTTCTGTGAAGGGCAGAAAAGAAATATTTTAGGCTTCACAAACCATACGATCTCTCTTAAAACTTCTCAAATGTGCCGTTTGTAGTACAAAAATAACCACAGACAATATGTAAATAAATGGGCATGGCTGTGTTCTAATAAAACTTTATTTACAAATGCAGGGCCATAGTTTGCCAATCCCTGGAATAAGGCAATAGTTAATAAACAGATATAGATAGCCAATGAATGGTACATTATGTACTCATTAAAAATTAGTAATGAATAAATGAAAAACA